TATACAGGTGCATTTTATGTTGAGTTAAGTTTACCGCACCAGACACTGTCCGAACGCCGAATCTGCGTCGCTTCGCTCTCGCTAGAACATTATTGTATCGACTGTGTGTGAAGATAAATAAATAAACTTTTGAATACTCTCACGGAGTAACTTTTGCGTTTCCTTCGAAAGGCGCGGAAAACGATTTAAATCTCCGATCCCCTTTTCCATTAATTATTAGAAAGCCGCCATCAACGACTGATCATCGTTGATCAACAACTTTCATAAAATAGTTTTTGGATAACAGTAACGATTGCAAAATCTTCGAGTTTGAATTCACGCAGAAAATAACACACTTTAAATTCGCACAGTTTCAAAATAATGTATAATTGAATGGTCGCGCCTATCGAAGCGGTAATGAAGTACAGTACTGTATATCTGAAATCTGACAAGTAAATTCATTTTCCGAAAAGAAAAAAAAATTCATCGAATAGCTTGACTCCGCCTCCGAGGAAATGATTGGATTTCTTTTCACACTTCCACCGTTCTCTACTTCGAGGCAAAATTAATTCATCAATCTCACGCATTAGCAATAACTATTACGGTAATAATGCCATTGACGGGTGATAAAATCATACCACAAGAATTTTCTGGACAACGGTTTCAGGGAAGTGAATTGAAAACATACTGCTATTATTTTTGACACTGGAGAAATATCAAGTTACCAGTCCCGTTAGATATCAATAAATCCCATGCAAATCACGACCCTGAGGATGTATGGAAATTTTTCATACGAAGTCAGGAGGGATATTTATTAGAATTAAAAAAATAATTTGAAATTGAATTTTTATCCAAATTGCGTTTAGATTTCTGTATTTTTGTATCAATGAAAATTGGCTGACAAAAAAAGAGTTCAATCTCGTCGAGTAGGAAGGAAGTGCATTACCACCTAGATGAAGGTCATCGTTCAGCGACCACCAGGAAAACCAGACCGGAAACTGTCCGGTAAAAAGCAAGGTCGGTTCATTTTCGTCATTATCATCAGCTCAGAAAATACTTCCTCTAAAAAATAAAAAATCTAACTATCAGAAGGGACTCTTGTATAAATTCACGGAAGACCATGTAGTCTGCACTTATTTTCAGTGCGGCATTTCTCACGTGAGCTTTATCGTTCCCCAGGAAGTCACTGGATCGAGTTTCGGCGGGTTTCGTCGAAAGCGAGCTAAAAAGGAGCTTGAAAAAAACTTGCGAGCCAAGATGAAACTTGTGAGTGTGCATTTGTGTTTGACTTTAGAATTCAACAGAATGATTCAATTCCCTCGTGTCTGTGAAGTATTGAATTTTTCGGTGAAGCCTTGGTAAGAGGAAAGTGTTGCGTGTAGTTGCCATTAAGAAGGGCGTTCGTAAGTTTCGTCAGCTTTTCGACAAGGTTCAGGGGATTAAAAAAAAACTCACTTTTCGACAGTTTTCGTATGATAATTTGAACAGAATTCAATTCTGATTTCGTAAAAGACGAGGAATTACCAGTTTACCAGTTTCTACGTGGTTATTTTGGGCGAATTGAGTTTGAGAGTCACTTCATCATATTTCATTAATTTTTGCACGACTGGCTGAAGAGCTCGAGTTCTCAGAAATACCTCACTTTTGAATAAGCCAATTTTAAAATTTTGCCGATCTGAAAATTACGTTCGATTGAGAGCATGAACGATCGAATCTCAAAGATTATTGAATTAGTGATTTTGAACGTGATTTGTACCCAAATTAGACATGCAGTTAAAAAAAAATCACCGCAGCTAATTTCAAAATCAACATATAAACTGTAAATGCGCAAAACCATGCGGAAAACCGTTTCATAGTTTTTTTTCAGCGCAGTACTTTTTGTGCTTTTATTGAGACAAGAAACTTGTGCACACGAAAAACGTCTTCACAATTGCTGAAGTAACTAAAAAAAAGTTACATATTTTCGGGAATATGTCTGCGTCGAAGTTGAAGAAGACTGATCGAAGGAGAGTGACATTTATTTATTTTTCTATTGATTTCAGTACCTCGTTGTAGTCATGATGGTGGCTCTTCTCGCAGCAATTGGAACTGGAAGGCACGTGATAAATCCCGGAAAACGAAACTTGAAGATTGGCAGCAGGCATTCTGATGAAGATTTTCACGGTAGCGGGGAAAGTTTTGGCACCGGTTTTGGCGTTGTGCAGAAAACTGGTCGAAGAGTCGAAAAAAAATTAATTTGAAATTTTTGAACGATTAATAATTTAGGTAATTGTTCAGTTCTTGATCGGTTCTCAAGGAAAAAGAGTGATTCGTACTTTAACTCATCTGCGCCAACTAAGGGGGGATTCATTTTGTTACGGGACGAGTGACAAGGAAAATGAAAGGATTTTTTGCACTGTGAAATCTTTTTTTATTCATTCACATTCATCAGCAATGTGTTCATGGCGAAAACACTGTCGACATTTTGCATAGAATATTAAACTAAAATTTGAGCCCACGTGTGACATTTCAGGGGCATCAGTATAATCACGAATAATATGCAAGTTCCTACGTTGTATTCTTAGACACTATCATTGGCTCGATGAAAAATTGAGAAGTCGAACGTATACGATTAAATTTGAAAATAAGCAATTTATTACTCAAAAATTTAAAGAATCGCCTTAAATCTTCGATCCCTTAATGAATATCATCATAAAAGCGTTTGAGGGTTCCAGCAGTCATGACAATAAAAAAATTCATACTTCTAATGGGAGCAAAACAGAAAACTCAGTATTGAGTCATGTGCTGAAAACTTAGTTTGTTTAACGATTTTGAACTTATGCCGTGAATTCTGTAAGAATTAACCCAGGATTATAGACTTTCGCGTTTGACACAAAGATGCATTCAATTTGGATTGATCGAAGAGGAAATATTGTAAGGAAAAAGAAGTGGAGAGATTCGACCGACAGCAAGAATTCATCTTTCCGTATTTGAGTTATTCCCGACTATAGGACCTCGTTTTTTTTATTGAACCTGTTCATTCATTTTCACAATTACAATCTAAAAGAAATTTAAAGGAAGGTAGAAAAATCAGAGCGATTGAAGTGATAATACTGTACTGTAGTGTAATAGAGAGTGCCATGTACAGAGACATCTATGAAATATTTTTGTAACAAAAGCGTTTACTTTACTTACTATCAGCTAGATGTCACTAACAGCATTTTTCGAAACATCTTCCATGCAGTAATTGCTTCGTTATCACGAGAATCCTGTGAAACAGGGGAGCATATTTTATATTCAATAAGATATTATGTTTTTCAACTTCCCAACGAGAAGCAAGACACACGAAGTCGCGGAACCCGAAGTTCTTATTGTCCTGTTCATTCTCGTAACGCACATCAAGTTTTTAGCATCGACTTTCAGTGATGAATTGAAGCCGGTCGTAGCTGGATCGTTTGTGACTCGCATATCAGAAATTTGTTCCCAATCGAGTCAGTGTCCACATTATTTTGCAAAGAATATTCGGAAAGGAAACCCAAGCGTTGCGCATGGTATTATTGCCAATTTTTTTCCCGCAGGAGTCCATCGCTGCTAAGGTCGAGTCATGTCGTATCCGCTTGGGACAAGTAATAAGGAATGCAACGAAGGTTGTGCGAAAAAGTGCGAAACAAAACCGAAACCCGCATCTCAAACAATCTCAGGTGCGGTTGCGTCCGGCATCGTGGACACGTGCACAGCAATGTATTCAATGTTGCCGAACGTTCCCGGAATGCCGCAAGTTTCGGGTTCCATGAAATGTCCATCGCCTTCGTTTGCCTCTGCTGCATCGAACATCGCCACGGTACGTAAATTCACGTTGCGTATGGAAACCTTGGAAGAAACATTTTTTTTTTTTTTTTACTTAGGTTTCTCAGATCCAAACTAGCAGGAAATATTCCCCCGCGATCACTTGATTCAAGTGTTTTTGAATTTGTAAGATTAACAACTCAAGCATCAATAAGGGTTCTTGCTGGGCTAGGGTCAATTCTGTTTGGGATTGCGGTTGCTTTACAAGTGGAATCTTTCTACAAGAATCTGGTCTACAACGATTTTCTCAGTTTTAGAGGATATCTTAGTCTTTTTTTTTTTTGGCCCATGCTATAGCGATTCTCTACAACGACTTTTTATGGTCCCTTGAATTTTGTTTTACGAAGAGTCGACCTGTTCATGAAACCTAGTGGATGTGATGCACTAACAGAAGAAAGACGAAGTTTCGTACGAGTTTCATTTCATGTTATTTTTATGAGGCTTTACATAATTTTAGACAGCTGTATGAAAGATTGAAGGCTTTGTCTTCAAAACTTTTGACTTCAGAGTTGAAAAAATAACTTCTGGTGAGGATAAAACCTTTGGGTGTTGTAATTCGAGGGTTTCTGGAAGCAAATCATTGTGTGTATATGAGCGGAAGTGCTAATTATTCGAACGACTTAAGGTGGAGATGATCCTTCATTTCTTCATACAGAAATCATCCCATGCATTCTAATACCAGGATATATTCCCCGTCATAACTGACGTAAATCTTCTATAGTATCAACGGTTGTAAGAATTCGTTCAGTGAATTATAGCAATAAAATTGAAAAGATTGAAGTAGCGATTGTGTTTTTTTTTCATCATGCTGGTTTTTCGTGAGTTATTGAGCTTTCGCAGGATAAACTACCAGGGAACCTAGCATCTCTCAATATGCGACTCGATTTAAAAGCACTTGAATGTAGCGAAAAGTAATTAACATCCCTTAGCTATGAAAAATTCATGATTGGAACACATTTTGGTTCAGGTTTCATTTTACTATAGTAGAATGAATGCAGTAATTTCCTTTGTGTGCTTCGAGAGAATAGTTTCTGGACGAGATTCCTCGTGACTATAATATCAGCAACTTCGAGTTTAATATTAATTTTTGCATTCTTTCTTGAGAATTTCAAGGATTGCATAAACCTGTTGTAAATTTCAGGTTCTCGCATCCACCTGTGGAAAAATGCAGACGGCCGGTGCGAAAAAAGAGGGCGGGAAGGAATCGGCAACTTCCATTCCGATTTCGAGGATCTTGGTGGACAATGCGTACGCACTAGGCAAGAATGTTCAGCTGTTGCTGGACGAAATTGCGAAAGATGCTGCAAAAATGTTGCCGGGATGGGGGACGAGTGCTGATTGCAATCACAACGTGAAATCGACCGCGTTCTACACGGATTTGGTACAAGACCCCGGGTGTGCTTCATTCCTGCTTCAACAACTCATTACGATGGCTGGAGCTCAAGCCTTGGATGATGAGGTAGAAAATTTTGCAGGAATGTTCTAACTGATCGGGAATTTCTTGCAGCAGCGGCAGCGAGAAAAATCGGGACGAATTATCAATTTGCAATCCGCCACTCTGCTGCTACTGGAATGAAAACCGTTTGAATTTCACTTTTATGGCTCTGCTGTTGATTATTTCAGTACTTTTCCCAATGCCGCTGCCGTTTTTTTATTTCTTCCCCGAAAAGTTCATAATATTTTTTATCGAGAAAAAATCCCGAGGATGAGAATTGTAGCAATAATTCACTTATTTTTTTGCAGTTATACTGTTAGATTGCTTGAACCGGAGACTAATATGATTTATTTTTAACTCAAATCGATCAACTCTTGTTCCAAATTTCTCGAGTTTTACGATCATTATAAAAAGGTGACGGTGATTGGCTGCATTTAGTAACTATTGTTACGGCGCATGATTTTCTCATTTCAGTTATTACTTTCCGATTTATGATGCACGCGGTACTAATTTCTTCCGCCCAAGGAATTCCCTATAGGGAATTCGACTCCTTAATTTCTGGACTTGAAAGTGAACGGCAATTCGTTCGTTATAGTTTTCAGCGCATATTACATTCCCTGTTTCGCTTTTCATTTGCATAAAATGATCGCTGTTTCATCGATTCAATCATTCATTATTTTCCCGCTCCAAAAATAATGGAATATGGGCTGGAATCTGAAGAAATCGGTTTCGAATTTTTTCTGGGGTTCATACGGTTTTGTTTTTTACAGGTTTGCTCTTGAAAAATGTTTGGTATAGATTATCTTATTATCAATCATCCACTTAAGATTTTGAGTTTTTCATGAGGAAGACCTGTAGGGTGTCATGTAAGTTGTATGCCTTAAAACATGAGGTAAATTACCAGCACCGACGAATGTGTGCCCATTGATTTCCTGAAAATGACTGTGAGTCTCAAAAACCCGAGCAAACCATTTTAATTTTCACACCTTCAACATGACAAGTGTGTATTGACAATCCCGTCGTTCACATTTTCGTGGACGCCGTTTTTTTTTTTCGGAGAAAAATTTGATGGGCATTGATAATCCCAGAAGCTCCTGGATGAAGCAGGTGATCGCGTCAAACGTATTTTATTTTTCCCGTGATTTTGAAATAGTACAAAGAAAGCATTTCTTGACGTGGAGTATGATCTTGCCAAATTTTGCTTTTTTGAAAAGCCAAAAGGAGAGGCTTAAAATATGATTTCTTGCAATTTGTCGGCCACGAATTTCAGGTTCTTCGGGCGATCGTGCAGTTTTCTAATGACCGGAGCGCCGATCCAGAAAGTGTCGCCTCCGTGGCGGCTGCCATCTTATCCTATCCTGCCTTGAGCACCGCCTTCGATTGCGACGTGAACCCGATTAACGTGGCGGCTGCCTTGCGAGGAGCTCTGAGGCACAGAAATTTTTTGTCCGTTCTCGGAGGCCTTTTCAATCGTGAGAACGTCAGAAAATCTGCCAACAATGTTTCGCTGAACACTTTACTGCAATTCCTCATCAAAAATTCCTCTCGTAAGTGAATTGAAAGTATATTTTACCTGCGGATTTTGATTAAATGCGGTACTTCGTCCTGGTGCCGATGAGGTGAACATCGACAACGAGAAACTCTTCGTCCCTTCATCATTCGAGAATCGAAACACATTTAAAAATGCTTCGTGACCAGAAGAACAGTTCTCGGCAAAAAGAAGTTTGCGAGCTGCTCTTCAAAAAAAAAAAAAAAAGAGGCCCATTATTCTGACTAAGGTTTTCAGCATTTTTAAATGGATTGTCTACCTTCTTAGTGAAGCGTTTCAAATGTTCGTTGTCTGCCTTTTTGAGCTGGAATAATTATTCTGTACTATTTTAGATGGAGACTTGGTTTCCGTGACGGGAGCCATGAGTTGTTGCGTGGAAACATTGGAAAAAACTGAACTCGGTCGGGATGTTTTACTCAACACCCTGGATCTAGTCGAAGGTGATTTACGATTGATGTTGACCAAGATGTTGGTATCATCTTGCCACGAACCTCTGATTCGTCCGTTTGTTGCAAAGGTTAGTCCAACATTTCAACTTTCTCACCACAAACAGTTTTAAAATATGTAAATTCCACGTTGAGAATCCTGAAATTATGGTAGCATCGTGTTTTTGGGTTACTGAAGCAGTAGATGCGTAAGAATCGGAATAATATACGAAAACGTAGTAAAGTGAATTTTCATGCGCGGATATAGTGTGGATAATCGTTACGTCACGAATGATTCGCATTTCCAAATCCCTTGGGGAATGTTCATCTAAAATTTGCCTGTTGGAAGTCGAAATAGCTGCTTCATGACCTTGAGATATTGCGGCTCCGGTTTCGTCATTCTATGGACAAATTCTAGTTGTTGGTCTTTCTTGCATCACAGTTTTTGATGTACAGTATTGTACTAAGCATTAATTTTTGCTTAAAACTATACTTTTCCTCAATATAATTGGACTTCGTTGTCATTAAAAAACTATATTTTTCCTTAAAACTAGACTGTTTATCTTTTACCATACCCTGATCACTCTTCCCCTTTTCGCTTTCATCAGAACAAAAAATTCGAAATGTTACGATTTATTTCTTGCACTTTTTCTACACTGACAGCTTCAGACTATAAGTGAAGAAAAATGTTTTTATTTTTCCTTTTGCTGACATAGGAAACTTCCGAGATCGGTATTTCTTACTCCGAGCTACTGTATTATAATTGAATTGAAATTGAAATTTGCCTCCAAAATGTGAATAAAGTTCTTCGAAGTCTAGGATCAATGATTCGAGCTTCGCCCATTTACTTAATTACAGTATGAATCAAGATACGTTTCCGCAGCTTTCACAGAAAATTAATTGATATTTACGGTTTTATTGATTTTGTTTGATAATGTGATGAAAAATGGAAATGGCGCATTTTCTAAATTGTAGAACGGGTGAATTTGAGGCAGAATTATTGTTGCAGAAATAAAAGAGCAAAAATCAGTGAGCGGCCGTGAATCAAAGTTACGCACAGTATTTCATTATATGTTGGGATATAAGAAATCTGTTTTTGAATACGATTTAAAATTCATTATGAAGGCTGTCTCATGATTTAGTCAAATTCACTGTGCTTCCCTTCTTCGATGACAATGAAGGCGGTAATACTTTTTTACAGAGTCGAATTTGACCACCCTGATCATTTTTCCACTTATAGTATTTTCGTTATCCCGGATCGAACAATGTGAAAAGTCAAGATTTATTTACTTGCTCATTTTTTATTATCTTTTGTCATTTCGGACAGCTCAAGTACATTCAACAAAAGTACTGTATTTTATACGATGAGGAAAACTGATATGTGCGTACGGACAATTCTCAGTGAAAGAAAATTCTTTTCACCATGTATTTTTCAAGCTATCCTTTTGATGCTAAATACCCAGATTGCTTGAAGATTTGGATCGAGGGAATTTTACGAAGTTATTGACTTTAATATCGGTACAAATCTGCAGTAAATCAACAAATGCTCACCTTGAGATTTTCAATTGACCCTATGACGATTCGATAACCCATAGAACGAACGCTGCGTACAAAAACCGCGCGAAAATTGAACCGCACTTTTTCGGTGAAGTTTTTGTTAGTACAGTAGTCGGAAAATAGGAACGGCCTTGAATAATGAACCGCTAGAAAGAGGCGGTAGTTCTCACAACAACAAAAAATGCGGTGGTTCGGCTGAGAAAATAATCGGAATTATCAACTTTCTCCGTGATTTTTTTGCAAATTTTTCTTACGGAAAAATCGCAATTTTTATTTTTGGCACAAAAATAAGTACTGTACAGTACTCTTTAATTGTATGCAGTTCGGCGGAACTCGGCTGGAACCCTCAGGAAATTTGATTGAGACTCATTGAAACAGAAGTTGCTTCAGATTTTCTTTCAAGCTGTCATATTCAATAATGATTAATTCATGATGACTTCTAGTTGAATCGTTTTAACTTTTAACCGTTATTTACACTGGGAAATGGTCCCATGCAATTATAGCCATGCAGTTCGGCGGAACTCGGCTGGAACCCTCGGGAAATTTGATTGAGACTCATTGAAACAAAATTTGCTTCAGATTTTCCTTCAAGGTGTCTTATTCAATATTGATTAACACATGATAAGTTCCAGTTGAATCGCTTTAACTTTTAACCGTTATTTACACATGTGTAGAATACGGGGAAATGGTCTCGTGCAATTATAGCCTTGAAAAAACAAGTTGACTTCTTCGAGCGAAATCGGATTTTCTTTTTTTTTTCAAATGTGATTTCCGTCTTTTTGAAGATACGGAAGCCCGAAGAACCAACTTGTTATGATCCTAACTATATGCCTAGTTATGACAAGACTGTTTTTTTTTCGCAGGTGATCCATCACAGCCTTCAGAAGACCCCGGAGGGTCTGCGACATCAATTCCTTGTTGACCTCTTCCCGGACATCTTTGATGCGGGTACAATTGGATCCCGGTTTCTAGCATCAGGCACTGAAGACGTCATCAGGGCTTTGATCCACCACTCGGGCCGCAGTGGGGATCAAAAGAAGTTCAGAGTTGCCCTCGAGGCCCTGTGGGTCGCGAGGCGAAATGCTCGCGGGCTCGGCTTGGCGAATTTCCCCGTGATTTGACTTTCCCCCTTTGCCATTCTTACTTTTTTTCTTCCTTTTTTTTTGTATGAAGATGTTTTCACGGCTTTCTCGCAAATTTGGGCCCTGGTCTGCATAATTCACGTTTTCTGACAATCCGAGGGGAAACGGGAACCGCGTATATCAGGATTTTCCCTGTGCGCAATCGTCTTATATGCGCTGTGCTGGCAACCTTGATGTGTCGGGTCTGCTTGTTTGGTGTGCCTGGGAAGAATGTTCTTGCCTCTGGTTTGGAAAAAAAAACCCTTCTCGTTTCTTTGGATAACTGTTTCTACTCTCTCGTGTGTCATTCAAACGCGACGTCACGCGATCTTATTTTCGGAAAATGGAAAACAGCGTGGGCATGAATCCTTCAAGTCGACAATTAAGGCTTCGTCATGATTTGAACTTGTTCTGGTGCGATAACAGTGATGAAATAAGAGGAAAACCAATGAAACGTGTTTTTTAGCGTGTTGCCCGAAAAAATACAAAAGTTTTACAGCTGATCGGTGCACTCTTCCATTGACCGGATTGTTGATAGGGTTGATATATTCGCTGCTAGATATGCAGAGTTTATAAACCCAAAAAATATTTAAAACCTGAGCTATTTATGGCCCTAAAATTGAATACATACGATTGACATGTATTACAGAGGAGAATAGCCAATTAAATCAGTACAGGCAAATCCTGATACGGTATACGGCACAAAATATCATGGGAATATAAGAAAGGCGACGTTTTTTGCAATTTTCATGACAGACTTCAGTAAGATGTCTTCGCAAAAATCCAGAGAAAATTGAAAACCTTCCAGACCACTTTTTTCAGCGTTTTGGTATGTTTTTCTTGGTGTTTTTGACTTCACCAATTCCTAGGTAAGGATTTGCTTGAACTGTGTGTATATACTACCTTCTTTGTAATTACAAAATAAAAATCGCTTCAAATCTGGAAGCGTTTGTAAATGTCTTTAAATTGGCACACACAATTTATAAGTTTAACTTCACAGATGCTTAATCTTGTTTTCAATGCCCACAACTCAAATCGATCTACTAATTTTCTCAGCGCCTATTTTATTTTCAATAATCCTCGGCTTATTCCTCCTGCCAGCAACATAAAAAAATGAACCTACACATACTTATTTCGCCAACATTGCTTAGTCAGATAAACATGGCAGAAAATACACTGTTATTAAATCATTTTGATCCAATTTGATCGCTGTTATTAAAATTTCACTTTGAGAAAGCAATTCCGTCGAACATCGCGTGAAGCTTGAACTATTCGTCCGCGGTTGAGCATTAAATTCACATTCATTCTCTTGAAAACGTCCATAGAGAATTTTTTTCATACATTTCCAGCAGGCGTTGAAAATTTTCTGTTGCGACGAATGTTCTTGCATTGCCGGTGCAAGGGTGAAGCATGAAGGGGTTTTTCTTCTCAGAACATCGAGCTTTGGTTCTCTCTTTTTTTTTTTTTTTTTTTTTTTTTTCCTGGAATTGGAGGTCTCTTTTTATAATCTTCGCGTTTTGGTTCTCTTTTTTTTTTTTTTTTTTTTTTTTTTGGCCCAGCAATCGGAGCACTCTGGGTCGAAAGAATTTCGCGACAAATCGCTATATACAAAAGCACAGAGAGGAGTCTAAAAATAAAAAGAAAGCGAAAAAATTAAGGGAGCTGCCACGTATTATATACTTGAGTTTCTTGAAGAATAAAAAAAAAATCCCCCCTTTTTGCTTTAAACTTGCACATGCATGTATATATACACAGAGCAGGCTTTATGGCTTTATTTGAATTTTATCGCGGTCTAGCTTCGCGTGGAGCCCTTGTACCATTGTGTCAGCATCAGGGCCGCCATGCTGGTCACCGCTTTCCTTCACCAAGTTGCTAGGTTGGTTTCCGCAGGTGAGCTCGAAGACATTGCCCTGCGATACGTCGTGCTAGTGTTTGCCGTTCAATTTCGCACGCAGGAAGCTGAAGCCGAGGTGCGAAAGAAAAATCCTTGCTTAAATTGCTTTATCCCAGCTCGGCTGACGCTGCAGAGGGTTGCCAACTAATAGCTGGCTTCCCTCTGCTGGAAAAAAAAGGAAAACATCAAAGACATGTCTTTGGTCTTTGCTGAAGCACAAAATCTTGACAACAAAAGATTGAATAAAAAAAATCCCAGATTGCTGAACAACAAAAGCAATTTCGTAAGATAATAAATTTTTTTGTTGAGAAACGTTATTCTTAACTTCTTGTTTTTACTACAGTATGAGCCTCTTTTTTTTGGCTTGAACCAGGGGAAGTTCAGAAAACAAGAACACAGACCTTAAAAATATTATTTGGGTGTTTCCAGGTCTTCCCCAAAAATATTGATACACAAGAACTGGCGACAATTTCCCAACAGTCTGCTTGGGTTCAGTTCGACAGAAGATCCTTGAAACTTTGAAAAACATCCACCCCAATGCCCAGACAATTTAACAATGGAAAAAATCCAAGAAAATGAACGATTTGAAAATTTCATTTTTTTAGCCTTTTAACGAACTACAGTATAAGCTGCAGTTTTACCTCAGCATAGTATGAGCGTAATTGGTCCATGCATTATGTTCTCTGCATGAATCTTTCTTTATGCAAATCATGTACTGTATGTATTAACAACGAATTTTACCATTCGTATGCAGAACAATTTTTTACTTTATAATAATTTGGTTTGTAGTACCAGGCTTTAAAACTGCACGAAGAACATTCATTCTACAGAATATGTTCTTAGTGCGAGGTTTTCATACTTAAGACTTAAGAGTATGACTGCAGTACTGTACTATGAATCAAAAATATATTTCATTTTAAATTCAGTCCATTTAATTTTTCATTGCCGCAGGCTACATTTGTACTCATCTTTACTGCGGATATTTTTCAATGAGCTATTCATAATAGCAATGAAAGGGCTGATTTTTTGCCTTTGGCTTTCGTGTCATGTAAATTGGATATATTCTGCATTGGTTTTTTTCCGCTTCGTCATTTTCTGCACCCAGAAGTTGGAAAAAAAACCATTTAATTGAATATTCGAGGACTTTTTCCGATTGTTGGGCCAAAAATAAGCAATTAAGAATTGAGGCCTATGGACATTTTTGAACCCAAGTGTAACCATTGCAAAATATACTCACAATCTGCGAAGCATTTACATCCGCGTCTTGGAGCCCAACTATATACACTCTATGCAAATAAATTTTATTGCAATTCTGAGCAAATTGGAAGTACAGCACATAGCCCAAAAAATCCACCTGCATAATCGAAAAAACCAAGATGATATGCAATTTAAAAGATGTTAAAAGAAATAGAATTTAGCAATTAAATAAACTTCTCACACTGCAAATTTAGGCTGAAGATAAGTTTACATGCATTCTATCGTGTTCTAGAATATACTGTTATTGCTTGAATTCTGCTTAAAAGACATTTCAAGTGTTTACCCAGATACTGTACCTCAAATGTGTTGCGGATTAGTATTTAAGTTTAAATTTCAGTGGGGCACTTCCCCCTGGTGGAAATCCCGCACAGGTCGATTTTCTAAACGGTAAATTTGTAAAACTGAAAGATCCACGCAATTCGTATGATTGGTATTCTTGGAATGATATTCGTTGTATTTATTAGTACGCATGAACACAAACGTACTGTTCCTCAAAATTCTAGAACCTTGCCGTATTCATAAGTTCCATTTAAAGCACTTTTTATAATGCCACGCATTCCCGAACGTATTTTATATGTTTATTTTCAATATTTTCATTAGTTGAAAATTTGGAACGAAATGCTGTCGAGATGAGATTTGTTTCGGAAAAGTTGCTGGAACGACCTCTTTCAATGAAATATCCATGCAAAAATCATCATTTTTCTGAAAGGATCATGATAATGGGATTTCCACCATCAGGATAAAATTCCTCGCTTTCAGAAATGCCAGGAAAATGAAATCCATGAAAACAGTTTTCTTTAAATTTTCCCGTGAGATACGAATACTGCGCACCATCCTTCATTGTTGGAAATGAATACTTCCCCATCATCAGGGGAAACAATTTCATGGACGAAAAAAGTTCAAATTGGCGCGCGGTTCTCGGTTTACGGCCGATTTTCGCATAAAAATCATGGAACAAAACCGACGCATTTTGCAGCCTCTTGTAAAACGTTTTGGTAACTCTGTTGAAACGCATTACGTTTTACTTGATCAGATCAGGGCCGAAGTTCGTCCCTGTGCCAGCACTTCCCGTACAAGGACTGAGAGCATTTATTAACAAATCACTGAAATCAACACGATATAGCGACTCTATACATATGCTAAACACGAATTGGCAATTTGGATCAAGGATGCTCATTTCTGCAGGTAAGTGTTCAGTTTTCTTTGTGGGGGTAAGAAGGGTTCCCTCTTCTTAATCAGCAGCGGATTATCAGCGCCACAACTGCAAAAATTGTGGTCATCATCATAAATTAACCATTGTTCTTCCTTTTTCAATATTTTCTCAATCATTGAAGTTCTCACTTCCCGTTCTTCAAGTTATCGCCGATTTGGAAATAAACAGCAAGATACTTCAAATGTTTCTGAATAAATCCCACAAGGTTAACGCTGATTTTTCACTTCGGGAGTATTATGGGATTTATGGCATAATCTCAGACTGCTCCTCCAAAAAATTGAATTTCAGTGATTTACGCTGAATAAATTTTTCGAAGCCGTCGGAATTGCAAGGGAACGCTAGAATGGCATAAAAAATTTCTGCTTCCTCATTCACCATGATCCTATAAATATTAGCTCGCTCAACACAGTTCAAGAAGATTAATTCAACACTTTTCAAATCGATTATTGCAGTAAGATCAATGTGAACCCGATAATTTTGAATTTACTTTAGCTGCCCAGCAGTGACACCAGAAATTGGATACGATACAACATTTAAAAAAATCTTACGAATGACTTATCCTGATTTTCGCAGTTTTTCTTATGCAGCACTGATGAGGGAAAGGCAAAGTAATTTTTACTCAAGATTTTTTTTTCTTCTTCCGTATGTGAGAAATGTTTTATTCTGCTGGGAAACTTTGTTCTTTTCAATTGAGTTGGATTGAACAAATTTATTTCATTTTTGATTGACACAATTTCAAACGAGAAGCTTCGTGAAATTCAATACACCATTACGAAATTTTAGGGCCTCGGGGATTTTTCATAGCGAGTTAGAGGCTTAATTTTAATTTGTACGAGCAAAAAAAAGCCCCACACATCAGGCCTTTTAGATTTGATGCTTTTTTCTCAGGAGAACATATTTTTGGGTCCACCTCCTAATTGATGCTGCAATGGGTTAAGGTTTTATAGCCGGAACCGTTGCCTAATTTTTCGCGGACGACATTCAGGTCAAGTTTCAGATTCTCTCCGAAATCGTCGACTATATACGAATACCTCTTGCAACCAAGGTTTCGACTACATACCCGATATCCTGCCGCATTTTCTTCAACGCAATCCAAAGCGTAGTTCTCATTTTATAACCTTGAATCCGAGACTCGGTCGAGGAAAAAGGAAGGGAACAACGTAGATTACTGGACAAGATCATGAGGCTTTTTACGCAGCGGAGTAGAAAATTGTCGCCGGGGCGACGACGGGGAGGCTCCAATTACGCCGCGGCGCCGCCGAGACTGGATACCGGCGCTCATTAAGTCTGGCAGGCGGCTAATGGACGCCCCGGCACCCCGGAAAATTGCCCACAAATTCACGCCGCGGATTTTCTGTCAGACGGGCTACTTTGCAACCGGGGCCTCGCCCCGTTGAGAGAATTGGGCACAGGTCTTGCTGGGGAATTTTTCAAAGTTCAAATAAAACTTTTGGCATTTTTGGCGTGAAATAGCTGTCATTTTTCTTCATAGAAATATAATGGAATGTTTTCTCTTTTGATTTTGTGATGTCCTTTGAGCCGAGCAAAATTTGTCGGACTGGAATATGCGCATCTTATTTCAAGAAGAGGCAGTTTATTTTTTACCTACCACTTGGTTAAGTAGTACTTCTCATTTATTTCATTTTGAATTGACCCAATTTCACGCGAGAACAAAGCTCAATGAAGCGCATTGTAAAATTATGGGGTCTCGGGATTTTTTGAAGCGAGATTTGATGTTTAATTTTTTTTATATGATGAGCCAAAAATGCTCGTTTAGATCGGGCAGTTTATAATTTGGTGTTGTTCATGATCTGCTGGGAAAATATTTTTGGTTCCACCATAAATCGGGGCTGCGAACAGTTGTACTGTATATTATTATATTAAACCTGAATGGGAAGGAAGCTTTCTCGTTATGGATTTTCTCGAAGTAAGGGATCCAAAAACGGTATGCATTATTGTAATATGTTCTTGAAATGAGATATTTGTTCAACTGATGCATTTTTTTAAGGAATACTTCGCAGATATAGCCACAAATAAGCTGCTTTTGACTGATTTTGCGAAACAGTGGATGAGTCCACAGTTGACAAAAACTTGATGCATACTCTTTTATGTTGACAATTCTACATTGAAACTGGTATCCAGTTGAAAAACATTACCTCAGACTTGGAGTAGAGATTCGCTACATGATTTACTCGTCCTTTTTTGCAACTCTTTTTTTGGGCAGAACCTTTTAAGCAATTTATTTTGCATTGCAGTCTTTTCTTTGAGTTGCGTACGTATGAGTCCTGAAAAATTGATGCTGATTCTAAAACGCTCGAGCCTATTACATTTCGCTTCATTAAGAAATAATCAAATGATCCTGCTGTTCATTTATCTCCTTCTTTTCGGAATTCGTTTGAAATTAGAATACTGTAAATTATATTGTATTTTCTCTTGGAGTAGATGCGAAAGCCCGGGCACACAAGACCGATTTTGAAAAGCTCTAAAAGATTCTTTTTTGTGGAATAATCAACGCGTTATAAAATATTTTTCTGATGTTCCCAAGAAAAATGACAAGTAAAATGTTCAATAAAACCGGGAAGTATCAAATCTCGAGTACATAAATCTTTGATTGAATTTCTCTATAATTCCGCTGTAAAATTCTTTATACATTTTTATTTTTCAATTTTTGATCATGAAAAACTTAGGTGTGCGTTGATCTATGGGTATTTTTGCTCAATTTTTCTGCGGAGAAATGATGTCCACTTCTTGCTTTGAGGGCACTTGGTACTTATTGAGTAAATATACAGATGTATTATGGATATTTTCCGATCATTGGTCCAGAGGTTTTTTTTTATGTAGAGAGAGGATTTCTCTCCGCCTTCTTCATTTTTTTCGGTTTTAAATAAGTACTGCATTAAGAAAATCTTAATCAGACTTCATCCTTAGGTCTAAAAAGTTCAACCATAAAAGTGACCACTATCCCCCATCCTTGTACCGTTTTTAGGAGATATCGCCTGAGCTGTTCTTTTCCGGAGCATAATTTATTTCGAACTATTATGTTAGCATAAACTGCAGACATAAAACTGGAAAGAAACCTGGAGTATAGAAACATTTTCTAATAATCCGAGAAACTTTTAGATTAACCCAACAAAGTTCAGCAAAGTCACGCTGTCACCGATGGTCACACCGATTCGTTTTCCCCGTTTTGTTCTCTGATGCGTTGCAATTGACGAATCCATGCATCAGCGTTTCGTTTTGAGTGTCTTCATTTTTTTAAAAAAGATTTTTCTTTTTCATCTGGTGCATACACGAAGACCAGGCCTGGCCATACCAACGAGTGGTTATTATTCATAAAGTGCTCAGACGGAGAATTGCCCCGGATTCCGTCTCAGCTGCGTATCTTTGTTCCGGGTGACAACGTTTTCTGGTCCGCCGATCGCTGCTCTCACTTATCTACCTCGAATCTGTGACAGTTGTGGCCCAGATGCAATGGGCAAACTTACAAGTACAAGTATGAGATAACTTCTTACCTTGCAAATTTAACCATCTCCAATCATGCAATTTTTAAATATGTCTAGAAAAATGAACAGGATGCCCAGGTGTGGCTGGGCACCCCCAGCTTGTTATTCATAAAGTGCTCAGACGGAGAATTGCCCCGGATTCCGTCTCAGCTGCGTATCTTTGTTCCGGGTGACAACGTTTTCTGGTCCGCCGATCGCTGCTCTCACTTATCTACCTCGAATCTGTGACAATGACGGCGTAAAGATTTTAATTTCTTCCTACTTAAATTTTTTATTTCTGTTTCTCATTTTTTGTTCTTCTGATGAATGAAAGCAGTCTCAGAAAACAGGGGATCCAATGTATCGTAAATTCGTGATATTGAAGCTTTGCTGGGTTCAATAAAATTTGCGGCTGTGGTACTCGTAAACCTCACCGGAATTGAAGCGCATCCGCAACGGTACTTTGATTTAAAATATTTTAGTGAATTTGACTGCTGCAGTTGTTAGCCAATCTTAGATTATAAGGGATATGAAGTGGTTACCTTTCTGATAGTTTGATTGATGAAGGTTAAGGTGAGGCCTCCTTATGATGGCAGAGGGGCCCTTTCTATATGACTTTGCCTACACTGCATGAATACATATCCACTTTTCTGAATAGTTGTTCTGCTTTCTGTTGGGGACTCGCTGCGCATCCCTCGAAATATAAAATTAAAATTAATATAAATTGAGCGGAAAAAACCGCTCAAGAAGAAAGTAGAGCATCCGCCAACGAACTTTCACTCTAAAGACTCACCCCCTCCAAAAAATCAAAATCTTGGCACCAAGACGTCTTCGACTTGACTTTCTCGAGCCAATCAGACGCCTTGGCGCCAACCCTTGCCCTTGATCCACATCCTGGATCAAGGAGACATCCTGAAAACCAATAAAAGATCAAATTAACCCTATCACATCATCAGTCTGTTGTTTGCTGCGTTGCAGTGCGTTTCGGAGGTTTTTGCGAGAGGTTGATTTTCAATCCAATTTAAAGACTTACAAAATTTTCTCTTGTGAATCTTTGT